GCGGTGCGGGAGAGGCAGATCGCGGAGGCGCACACTCGCCTCCAGCAGCAGGAGCAACAACTCTCGGAGGCGAACGCTGCCCTTCAGGCACGGGAGAAGCAGCTCACGGAGGCGACCGTTGACCATGCAGTGCGGGAGAGGCAGATCGCGGAGGCGCACACTCGCCTCCAGCCGGAGCAGGAGCAGGCACTCGCGAAGGCAAACCCTGCCCCTCAGGCACGGGAGGAGCAGAACTCTGCCCTTCAGGTGCTGAAGGAACAACTCGCGGAGGCCCGCGCTAGCTTCGACCAACAGGAGGAGCAACTCGCGGAGGCAAACGTTAAACTTGCGACGCAGGACGCATATATCGTGGAAAGCGACGCTCGCCTCCAGCAGCAGCAGCAGCAGCTACTCGCGAAGGTGAACGCTGCGCTTCTGGCAGTGGAGAAGAAGGCAAAAGCTGCCCTTCATGCACGGGGGAAGCAACTCGCGAGGGCAAACGCTGAACTTAAGACGCGAAACGAATTCGAAGTGAGGTGGAAGCAGCAACTAGCGAAGGTGAACGCTGCCCTTCAAGCACAGGAGAAGCAACTCGCGGAGGCGAACACTGCCCTTCAAGCAAAAGGTGTCAAGATTGAAACACTCACCGAGGAAAACCGGAAGCTTATGGAGAAGTATGATACATTTAAAGAAAGCTACAGAGATATGAAGGACTTGCCCTTGAGAGCTCTGGCGATCGAAAATCCATTGAAGAAGAAAGGAGACGGCCAATGAGACAGAGTAAGGCTAAGGTTCGCGATGAAGTTTCAGTTTCTCATCATCACATTCTAATTGTTGCTGCCGCTCCGCAGGATGCTTCCAACTCGACTGTGGACAAGACTCCGTATCTTCCGCGCGCCTTTCCTCCATCCATCCTCGTGGGAAAAAAACATGACACTAGAAAACAATATCACTTCTCCATAACAAGCGAGCATCCAGAAATCCGTGAATGATCCATCAGCGACGGAGGCTGAAGACGAGTACGATGAATCATTAATTGACTACGAAGTCGAACTGGAAATGGATGACATCAACGGTCATGCAGAGGTCACTTACGAGCATGATATTGGGAGGACGCCTATCAATCCAGACGAAGAAGAGCTTGACTATTACGACGAAGACGAAGAGTCGGCATCACGCTCAGGTCAGGTGGGTCAAGCTGCTGTCTATGATCACGGACGAACACCGAGTCCGATGGAGCGCCCCTGCCTGCAGTCAATATCGCCTGGACGCTTCCGTGAAGTGTCACTGCTGCGGACGCCATCACCACCACGGGCTTCCTCATCTGCTCGCGCAGGGAAATTGCCTAAGAACCATCGCGACTATCGTCCACCATCTCTACCGGCCACGCCTCCGCCCCTTGGTTCAGTTTCGCCGATAATCTCAATACATCGTTCTCAGGCTCCACGACTCAAGGCCGTTGCTCGTGCGCGCTCGCGATCTTTTTCTCCTCGCCTGTCGGCCTCTCGTCGCTAGAACGTCCACTCGCATCTGGTCCACTTTCACAGCTTCGCCGTTCTGAACGGTTGCGCATTCGGTCACAATCGCTACGGGCGATACCGTTTCATGCAAGGCGCAATGCCGACCTTCCGCAGACACCTCCACCGATGCCTTCGCGAAGCTACACCGGCCTACAGGCCCGGCTCAGTCCATTAGAGTCAATCAGATCACCGTCGCCAGTTCGCCTCCGCGCTTCTTCTCTCACTCTGGCACACAGCCGCTCGCCAATCCATGAATCTCGTCCACAGGTACTTGAACGGCTTTCGTCTCCATCGGTAATATTTTTCTTTTGAGTCATCTCGTCCACGACGATGTATTTTCTTAACTCAGGCGGGCGATTTGCGGGCGGAAGAAGTGTCGAACAGAGACTTCTCGGAGGATGAATTGGACATACAGAACCTCTTTCCGCACAACATACCGATTCAATACGAGTATCCTGTCGTGGAACCTCTCTATCCTGAGGAACAGGACTGGCTTGGAAGGATGTACGAACAACTTGAATGGGCCGATGACTACATGAATCGTTTCATGGTCGAATCCCGGCAAGCAGGAGAACTCGCGTGTCCTAAAATCTTCGTGGGGGGGATTCTGCTTGACATTGCTCTGAAGAGATTCTGGCGTCTGGCTAAGAGCATCCGCATCCTCGCTTGCGCACGTTTCGGCTACTATCTGTTCATCAAGATGATGCGGAATGACGCGGTTTCTTTCTGCGATCTTGAAGATGCACTAGAGGAGGATCTGCTCGATCTGTCGCAATGGGACCTCTATATCAGGCAATGGAACGAGTACAACCAATGCTTCCGACCTTATCATCACATGCTTGTTAAATTATTGTATCCAAAGAGACCAGAAACAGTCGCATTTGAAGTACGTGACGAGCAGGGCTATGTCCTCGTTCCTATCCTACGAAAGTCCTATCAAGCCCAAAAGAAAACTCTACGTGAAGGCGTTGCAAAGACGCAACAGTATATTCAAACAGAAGGGGAAGCGGACATTCGGGCTGAACAAGAGGCAAGGATACTGCTGACGCGCCTGTCAGTGCACAGACCATCTCTTCCGACCAAGGCAACGACATCATTTTGGGTGCTCGACTTGCCGGCATGACGTTGTCCTCACCTGAGATGCAGCGCAATCAACAGGTGAGACTTTCGTAATAATCTTATATCAGGTTTTCTAAATTCCCCTTCTTGCTTAGGCCGTCGAAAGTACCTCTGGAAATCAGCCTATACACAAGCAAGAGCATCCTTCAGCTTTGAAAAAATAGCCTGGGGGTTCAGTGGGTTCTCTACCTATTTTTAAACTCCGTCTTGTGGCGCTGAGTGAACATCCTACTCTTCAGATTGTTGGTCGCGTTCCAGATTGCACCCCGCTCGCCCTAGGTACCGAGATCGTTGTTACACAGGCGTCGGCATCATCGAGGATGCTGAGAGTTGACCGGTATCCTGGTGTTCGACTTGTCCGAGCACCGTTGCCGTCCACGTCGTCAGTTGAGCAGCGCGTCGACCTCGTGAGCCATTTGCCGCCTTTGTCCATCTTATGACTCCGACAATCGAGCCATACCTGCTAGCCAATTAAGTCATCTGCCCACGTTCGATTTGTTGATGTCCCAGTTCAGTCGGAGAGACAAGTTGCACCGTCGGTCAGTGGTCAGCTCAGCCGTTCAGGTGCCGACATGCGACCTACTGTGGGGATGCGTTAAAGAGGAAGCGGATTGGTGATGTACGTCGATTCTTTTCATGATTTGTCCTGGGTGCCATGTCGATGGTGGTTCTATCTGTTTCAGCCGGCCGATGTACTTGCCACCTCTGTGCATGGTTCACCCGTCACACCACCGTTGTCGAAGAGACAGCGCACGTCGAAGAGACAGCGCACTGACTCCTCCAATCGGCCATCGAGGCCTCTTTCCTCCAGGACGCAACAGTTCCTTGCTCAGGTTGGTTGTGGAAAGTTGCCACGGAGGGTGAATATTGATAATCAGTTCTCTTCTATTTAGCCTACCGATTCGTCGACCTCGATGCGAAATCTATCCGACCGATCGAAACAACCCATCAGGTTCCCACATCAGGGACAATGTCCGCGGCCATGGAACGGGAAGAAGTGAACAGGGTGAGACCCAGCTATGTCAGCTTTCGGCAATATACGCTGATCATCGTCCTTCATCAGCCCGCGGGTGATATCCAAGTAGCCCAATTGAAAATCTTCACAAGATTTCGCGCGCGAATGGACAAGCGTGTCGCTACTGTGAGTATTCCTTGTGCAACCGTTATTACTCGGTCTTCTCAGTTGCATTGCTCGCGTAGGTCGTTGGTCAACCACGGCCCTCCCAACACGTTAACCCAGTCATCAATACTGAGCGTGATCAACCGAGACTGTCAACGAAAAGGAAGAGGCAGAATGTCGATGCTGATCCTGTTTCAAGGACGGAGTCGTCAATCCATCAAGGTCATCTGTAACCAAGAGACAGCGCGTCGACTCAGTGAGTAGTTCGTGCCAAGCCCAATTAATCGCGGGGCTGGTTCTGCGTACGAAGGCTATTCGCTTTACCACTGAGGCACGTCCGTAGACGTCATGTCGCGTCTAAGCGACCTTCGTAAGATGTCATCGCTCCCAGTGGTCGATGTTCGTGACGAACTCGGCATCTTACCGCCATCAAGTATCAACTTTTCTTCCTAGGCACGAAAGCCCTTCATTCTACCGCACTCGTACATGCTGCTTGAAGCGTGCAGCACCGGCTTCAGTATTAACAACCACCATCCTGTCATCCGTCATCCGAATCAACCACCATCAATCTCCTCGACATCCTGGTTATGCTCTCGTCCAGCTGTGGTGGAGTCACTTATACTCCGTGTCGGGACCCGCTGTCAAGACGAATGGCACTCAGCTGCCTCTGCATTCGCGCTGGTCGCACGCTACCCGTCGGAAACATCTTCCATCAGTTTGAGTTGCTGTTTGCAGTTCAGCACTGCCATATCATCAGCCGATTATGCGCTCATGTCCTTGCTGAGATGTTCAATATCATCAGCCTGGGCAGGCTCGTGCATCCGCGGACATCATCATGCTGCCGCCTGCCTGCCATAGCTCACCAGTCACTTCAGGCCAATTAGCACGAATAGGTACACGTCTCTATGGGCTATTATGTAGAACGGCTGCTAACATTGTCGCAGGGTTTCTCACCGTCGAGGCGACCATAACGTTACCGCTGCCGACCTGCGTGTCTGATGCAGTATACAACGTGGTCCTCGCACGGCTGCGTCAAGAATTGAGATTCCCAGCATGGTGCTTCCCGCTGCGTGCCCCATAGTATACTTCCACCGCCACTGGTCAACCCGCCCTTCCGCCAAGACATTGTCATGCGAGGTAGCGCCTTCCGCGGTCACGCGAGTGAGAGTTGAGGCTCTTGCGCAAAGCCGCGAGTCTCCACGTACAGGCCCTTCAATTAACTCGATCCTTCATGCGCCACGACAAGACTGCCCAGCGATTCAGCGCCTGTCGCGTCCATGACGCGGGAGTTGAGGCTCTCGCCAGTTTTCCGTGCGCAACTCAGAGTCACCATCGTGCACTTTGATGGAAAATGATGTGCTTCGAAATGTAGCCGTTCGTAGACGCTCTAGGATGCCCAATGAGTCAAGGCTCTTCGCCACATCGTGAACTCCTTGCATGAAGTCAAATTGTCAGCCACAGACCAACAATCTGGACCGGATTGTTCAATGAAGGTCTACACACCTGTAAATGCTTAGACCCCCCTTTCGGGCATTGCTTGCCCATTGATCGACTAGCAGGTGGGCTGCTATTGGACTTCGCGTCTCGCAATTTGACGATATCGTGGAATAGTGGCTGGTGGTCAACATCGTGAGCCAATCTCACCATTTTAGAGCCCAGGATCCGTTGTTGATACGTTCACCAGGTTAAGCATTATCTCATGTGCATTAAGGCGGGCTTATGCGCTGCTCGCGGACTTCGTGTCTCGTGGTCCGGCTACTTCGTCGACTAGCGGCTGGTGTGTTATTGGTGCGTCATTTCGTTGTGTAAACATTGTTGTTATCGCCGACTTGCTCTGAAGGCCTGACATCTTGTTAATCTTGGCAGCGGTTCTCTCGTCGACGTGTACGGCAACGTGTCGTGACGGCGACTTCTCTGGGCACAACACTTTTGTTATCATTGACAGCACTCTCGCGTCACATCATTGCATCTGCATCATAACTTAATCGGCTATCTCGGCGCTCTCCTCATCGTGCTTTCTCGACATCTTGCTCTCGTGCTGTCTCATCATTTTGCTCTTGCGCTATCTCATGACCCTGCTCTCGCGCTATCTCGTCATCCTGCTCTCGTGCTCTCATGTCATCTTGCTGTCGTGCTCTCGTTTATGCTCTCGGCTATCGCGGTTTCGGCTTATGTTTATATGCATTTCTCATATTTATCCGCTCTGGAATCCTTGGGCCCAGGAATCCAGAGCGTGCAACATGCAAACAAACGCAGACGTTCCAGCTTCGGACGAAGCCCTGGACGCAGGGAACACGAAGCGGATCGCGGAACGTCAACCATTCGACTGTGGAAACCCCGGACGAGGGGGATTCAGAGGCGGATGGACAACAATAGACATTCGCTCCAGAGGACCCTACACAGGAGAATCTGGGGCATCGGAATGTGTCAACGTCCTGCTGTGGTGACCCCGGACGTGGGAGGTCCAGGCAGGGCAGGGATTATCCCAGCTCTGGCAATCCTAGACGGGTTGTCCAGGGCGGGTTCTCCGGGTACCCCGAACAGACAGGGGATCCGGAGGGGAGGGTTCATGGTGTGTGGATGTGGAGGGTAACGTCAAGAGGGTGTAAGGGCAACTGGCGGAACAAAGGGTTTCGGGGAATCGGTTTCTTTTTTTCTGTTTCTTTTTTTTCTGTTTCTCTGTCTCTTCTCGGTGACCTTGCTTATCGTCTCCCATCGCAGCTCCTCAAGCTCAAGGTCCAGCGTAGTGTAGTTGTAGTGTAGTTGTAGCATAGTTGTAGTGTAGTGTAGTGATAAACATATGCACCGTTAGTGTAGATTAGTGTAGCCTTACCGTAGATGTACCATAGCCGTAGCATACCGTACCGTAATCTGTCTTTCGTCTCATACGTCCGGTAGCCGCTCCCGTAGTATACCCATCGCATAGATACCCACTAGATACGATACCTCTAGACACGATACCGTCTAGATACAATACTCACTAGACACGATACCTATTAGACACGATATCCGTTACGCACTATACCTCGCATATGTACCTCGCTACTGTACCGTATCATACGCGCATTGCGCCCACCTCTCGCATTTGTACCGTAGCGTAGTGCACCACATAGCTTAGTACACCGTAGAGTATATAATAAATTACACACGTTGTTAGAGAAGTCCTGTGTGAACTTGTGAAGTGATTGTGCCGTCGAAACCTCGCATGGCCGGACATTCCACTTTATGCTTTATAATTTCAAAATTTGAGTCGTTCTTGTGGTAAATGTCAAATGCGAGGGCAAGAAATATATTCAACCGTCTGGCGTAGTATGATCATGACATGCAGATCGTAACTGTCCGCAGCGGTCCTCCTTACTCCCGACACTCACTGAGCTGCACCTGTCCGCTACGGCTCGAGTATGGGCCTTAACCTTGATGGATGGAAGCTGCCATTCTGGGCACGTTCTTTTAACACTGGCGACACGACGGTCGAGCGTGAGTGACTGTGAACTCGTGCATGCCTTGTGGGCTTTTCAATGACGTGAACTCGGTAGGGGCCCTAGGGCTCGACAGCGGAGAAGCTGATATTTCGATTGAGGGTGTGGCAGTTGATCAGCGCTCAGCATTAAGAGAGTATGAGATGGCTGTAATATATTATGTATCAATGATGCGAACAGCGGTTGCTCACCTGGCTAAACACGTTGCTCCTTTCTTGTGAGGTGAATTTTGCGATGTTGGATGGCCGTCTCTTGCACAGGAGAGAGAGTTCTGTGGCAGATGATGCATTGAAGGTCTGAGGTATCTACTATTCTGAAAAGGTGGAGTGTACATGGTTAGAATGAAGTCTACGACGATATGCTGCGGAAGGCATGATAAAGCCTGTCCCAAAGAGAAGTACGCAGCTTTGCTGTGAGCACATCATGCTCGCGAGTGATAAGTTACTGAATCTCGTCTCTCTTACAGACCATCCTTTTCCAGCGTCTCGGTTTCAGCAATGTCAATTCTCGTATAGTCGCTGTCGCCAATGGCACTGAATATTTCCTTGCAAGCTTTATTGCCATTGGGCTTGTTGATCGCCTCGGTCAGCAGCCACTTATACTGTTTGGTCAGGTGGGCCAAACGATCACCATGATGCTCCTAGCTGTGTCGGGTGCCATCAACACACCAGGATGCCGCGTAGTATCTGTAGTCCTATTATTCGTATTCAACACCTTCTTTGCCGTTGGATTGCTGAGGACAAGTTGGCTCTATGTATGTGTCAGTACTCGTTTGGAGAACCAATGCGCACCTTAAGAATGTTTTGCAGTGCACCGAGGTTGTCAGCTTGCGTATTCAAGCCCCTGCTAATGCTTTTAGCACTGCATCGGTTTAGACGTTTAACTTTGTGATAGTGATGATATCAAGCCCTTCGTTCAACAATATCGGTATTGTCCGAGGTGAAAATTTCTGAGGGCTGTAAGACACATAGGAAATGAGTGACTCAGCCTCGATGTATGATGCGAGTGCTATAGAAAATATCTGTAAGATACGTAGGAAATGAGTGACTATAGTGTATGAGTAAAAGGTATGTAAGGAGTCCAGCAGGTACTTACCTCAGCCTCGATGTATGATGCGAGTGCTGAGGTAGCAGGAAAAGATCGAGCGTGCCTGTGGCTACATGATTACATAAGCAAATGCACGCGGAATGTCTAAGTCTGTCTCCCACTGGACATAAAGTCCATATGATTTTCAACATGCCCACTCAGTGGGAATGCGGACCTACTTTTTTAGAACACTAATTGAATCCTTCATGCTGCTTGTACTGTGCGTGACCGAGGGTCTTCAGCACATGTTGTGACTTGCACAGATTGGATGGTAAGTGCCTGTGGTGTAGGGTTTCTTGAGTCCGTCTGGGCGGATAGAACCCGGGCTGCTGTATGCTGTCTGCATCGTGTGACTTTACCTGGATCGTGCCCGATTGCGGTGCGTGGACGGTCATACTCGTCATTGAGTGTGGCCTTGACGATTGGGGTAAGTTCTTCCATTGTCGCTAATATCCATTGATCTGCATCTGACGTTGATTCTCCAAGGTTCTTCATCAACTGAGTGACCCTTAGCGCCCACGTGAGCCTTATCGCGTTTGACTGTGCCCACTTGATGCATGTTCTTCCCTCCTCTCTTTGGCTGTTCTCCTTCGCTTCTGGCTCTCTTCTGGACTTCTGGAGTCTCTACTGCCCACTTTGTCTTGGCTCCAAGGCCTCCTGAAAATGTCTTGGGCTTGTATGCGCTGACAGAGGACCACAGATTGTCATCCCGAATTGGCACTGGGTGCGCGCTGATGAGCGCGGAAATGAGCTGAGCACAAAGCATGAGGCAGGCAGCAGGCAAGCCCAGGTGGCCAACTGACCCTTTGTCATACCAACTGCCTCCGAGACATGCGTACTACACGAGGCGGTCGGAGCTGGCAAAGACAGTCTCGACCGAGCGAGGCATGGGCAAAAAGCCAGCGGCGGCCCGGTATGCCTTCCAGAAGAACCAAGGGGTGAAGGCGGTACCGAGGATCGAGGACGAACTGCTCGAACAAGCATAGTGGTAGCAGTAGCAGGATACCACTCTTACAAGTTTTGGATTTCAGACGCATTTCAGATATGCTTATAGTCTCTGGAAGCAGGGTATGGACACTTCCCATAGTAATGAACAGTTCAGCAATGAGCTGTCCGTCGTAGTATATAAACCTGGTTGCAATTGGAGAAAAAGAAGATAATCGACTGGGAGGGGGTCGCAGGAGCGAACTTCTCCATACTTCCACAGTTCTATTATTCCACTCTACACAGCTCATCTTTGATATCAATCTATTGCTTCACTATTAATTGCGTTCTATCGAACTCGATAACTTCGTTAACGAAGTCTGCGCTACGGACGACTTGCACCACAAGCCCAGGAATAAAGGTGATCGCCTAGGCTCAGTATGGTCTCTTACGCACAGTCCCTTGGTTAACTTGTTCTATCGAGGCCAGGAGGACTTTATCAGTCGAGTGCTAGAAGGAACAAAGTGATTGAACGCACCGAACGGGGTCCAGCCGAGGTCAACGGTAGCAGACGAACAAGTTTCATATTAGAATTTTGTTTCCCACAGTCCCGATTAGGTGTTCAACTCGTGTCTGCGAACAGCATTAGAGCGCTGGAAATGATCTGCGAACATTCCCTGCAGATCTGCAAACAAAACTCAAACAACCCCGAACAAGAGACTCGAAGAGCCGAGGCGAACGTCCGGTCTGAACGATCACGCTAGCAGGTCTGCGAACAAAACGTTAGCGCTCAGACAGCATTTGCGAACAATTGATTGGTGCGCAAACCCCATTTGCGATCAATTCGAAGCACGAAGCTGATGTAATGTGGGAAATTCATCCCTCAAAACAGTAACACGCACGTGGGCAAGGCCAGCGTTCCGTCCTAGCTCCAGCCAGTCAGCCAGCCAGCCGAATGAAACCATCTGCACCGTACCTTTCCACCGCACGCTTCGGACGACACTCTCGTCCACCACCCACACACACACCACCCATATTCACCAACATCACAGAGTCTTGGTAGCAAGAAACCTGCGGGCCTCGCACCCTTCAAGAAAAGAGTCATCTCCCTGTACCGGCGCACCATCGGAGACAGAGCAGAGTGGTTGATACTCACCTCACTCCGCAATGAAGTGATCGGTACTGCCTGACCATGGACCATAGGGAGGTGGCATCAGAGCATATCAGTGCATGCGGATTGATGGACATGGCTCTTTGGAGCCTTTGGAGTGGGAGCGGGAGTGGCTGCGCATTGAGTCCGAGTGTGTGAGAGAGATGCTGCAGCCTTTGAGATGGCAGGTAAGTGCTCCTTCTCATTTTCGCACTGAGGCGGAGAAGGAGGCGAGCAGTTTGACGCAGTCTGGCATGGCAACGTGATGTGATAGCTGGGCGAGGGTACTGTGTTGCCCTCATCGTCTTTGTCATTGCTGCTGTCATTGTCGTCATCACCGGTGGACGTGCTACTGGATGCATCGAGTGGTGGTGGCGTTGGGTCGTGTTCGGCGGCTACGATCACGATACGAGCTGCTCGTCGTTCGTGAGGGCTGTGAGGAGTGCTGGCAGATGAGCTCGGCAGTTTGCCCTGCACTTCGTGCTGAAGTCCAGGGTCGATCACCGTGCATATCTGCCAGATATGGACACCCTCGTCGGAGGCAGCATTTTGCGTATCGTGTGTGCGCCCACTCATTCAGTGAGAGGCAGCATGTGCCTTCGCGTTTTGAGCATGCCTGAAGGTGACGTGCTTGGCTGACTTGACGTCGAGTCTGGCATTATGGGCCATACACCCGTGCATGCAGATGTGTGTGGCTGAGGGCTTGATACCCGTCTGGATGGGCTTACTGGTCTTCACGTCATGAGTTGCATTGCTCACGGTGTTCGTGTTGCTGACCGTGCCTTGATAGACCATTTGTAGGGTGAGTTTGGTACCCATGTGGCAGGCCTTGTGGTGCCACTTTACGATGTTCATCCTGTGCATCATCGTCTTTGCTGCCAGCGCTTCAAGTGAATACTCATTGGGATCTGTGAAGGAGTCCGCGCGCACTACGAATGCTCGCATGGGAGCATGTTGGATCGATGCGAGGACGTAGAGACCATACGTCTTGTGCGCTAGGCCCGTCGTCTCGCCATTGCAAGTGATTTTGCAGGTGTCGCCACAGAACGTGAGGGTCTGACCTTGTTCGGTGAGTCGTGAGGTGGAGAGGAGGTTGCCCTGGAGCTGCAGTACGTAGTATATGTTCTGTAGCAGTGTCGGGCTTGTACGTCCATCTTTGGTGGCTAAATCAAGGTAGATTTGCCCAATACCTTCTGCATGAATGCATCATCCGTCTCCGAGCCAAACATGCCTCGGTAAGGTAAGGTTCGTGAATTGAATGAACCAGTCATGGTGTGAGCTCATGAATGCTGTTGTGCTCGAGTCAAGAATCCAATGGTCAGTGGGTAGGCTGTGCTGCGTGAGCGCATGGGCGATGAACAGTCGGAGGATGGGAGATGCTGTGGTACCCCGGGTGGACGTGACCTTCACCACAAGGTCTTCACTGTCGTCGCTACCCTCCTTCTCCTCCTGCTTCTCCTCATCTCTCTTCTTCTTTCAGCACTCCTCCTCTGTGTGGTTCAGCTTGTGGCAATAGCCACACTTCTTGTCAGATTTCGGCTGCTTCCCATTCAACTTCGATGTTGATGGCATACCTGACAGCTTAGCGGCAAGTGCGTGCTGTGATCCCTCCTTGAGGTGTTCGCGCTCTTCAGTAAGGACCTGGTTTATGACCATCTCTGTGGTGAGCTTGTCGCTTGTCGACATGAGGATGGTGTGAAGTGCTGAATACAATGGAGGGAGCGATATGACCATGGCGACCGCGATCAGCCAGTCTTCGAGCGGCTGTCCGAGGGTGGCCAGAATGTTGGCCTTTTGGATCATGCCATCGAGCTGTGCCTCCATACCAGTCTTGTCAGAGAGCGTACCATGAAATAGCTCACCGATGAGGTGCACTATCATCTGTTTTCCTTTCCCCTCATACCGCACAGTGAGTTTGTCCCATACAGACTTCGCCGTCTTCTCATACATGATGTTGCTCAGAGGCATATCTTTGAGCATGAGCGTGATCTGTGCCTTTGCATCTTAATCCTTATCATCCCATTCGGCCTGCTTGTCAGGTTTGGAGTCTGAAGGTTGAGCTTCCTTACCCTGGGTGATGTTTCAGAGCTTTCTGATGCATAGCACCATTTCGAGGCGGAACTTCCATTGCTGGTAGTTCGCTCTGTCATCCTCGAGTAATGGAATGTCATAGAGGCAGTTTGAGCTGAGAGAGAGTTTGACAGATTTGGACATGGTGTGAGAGGGTGTGGAGTGAGAAGGTGTAGACTGTGGTGCAGGAGGTGCTGGTGTGGGTGCTGGTCAAAGAGAGAGGAATTAAAGGAGTGTGAGCGCAGTGGAAGCCTCAATGAGTGGACAGGTTAGTGTGTAGCTCCGGGGCTCATAACCTATTGTCTAAGGTGAAAATTTCTGAGGACTGTAAGACACGTAGGAAACGAGTGACTCAGCCTCAATGTATGATGTGAGTGCTATAGAAAATACCTGTAAGACACGTAGGAAATGAGTGACTACAGTGTATGAGTAAAAGGTATGTAAGGAGTCCAGCAGGTACTTACCTCAGCCTCGATGTATGCTGCGAGTGCTGAGGTAGCAGGAAAAGATCGAATGCACCTGTGGCTATGTGATTACATAAGCAAATGCATGCAAAATGTCTAAGTCCGTGTCCCACTGGACATAAAGTCCATATGACTTCCAACAATCGGCTGGTGGACCTACCTTGGTACGTCAGCCACCCAGTTATGCATTTTTTTTAACATTCATAAGAGGCACGCCAGAGGCTGATGCCATTCTCAGCATAGTAAACTCAAGTCAGGGCAGCACAGGAGGCATAGTCAAAGTCGTTCAAGACGAGCTCGAAGTAAACGATAGAGCATGAGAGTTGAAGTGACCATCGTAGACAGAAGAGTACATACAGAAGCGAACTCAAAGTTAAGGCAAACATGCCAGTTCACTTAGAGTACTAGAGGAGCCAATCTGAGGATGCGCAGACTTAGAATTGCAGACATCTACAATAGTCTAGCTACACAGAGCATGCAGTTTCGAGAGAAAAATTGTAAGTGTATGACCAGTAGTGCAGATGAATTGCATCGCAACATGCTGTAAATATATATGATGCTGCATCTACAGAGGACAAGAGACTCACGAGTGAAGGCAGGGCATACATGCACCTGATATTTATCGAATGATTTGGAGAATGTGAGAGACAAGGATGGAATATGGGATATGAGAGACTGGGTAATCGGACGCTACTATGACAACAACAATGAAATAGTCAATAAGTCAAGGATGGTTGCAAGGTTGGAGGAAATTTGCACAGGATATGTACAATTTGCTAGAGTAATTTTGAGGAAGTTGAGGAACACAGGGAAGAAGAGAGAAAGGCAAGTCGCTCATCAACGTGTCAATGCTCTTGATGAGCGACACTGCCCAGGTTGATATCATGCTCATCAACGATGAGCCTGACATTATCCGCATCTACATCTGCATCTACGTCTGCATCCTGGTCGGCATCAGCTTCCGATCCAGCTTCTACTTGCTCAGGCAACACCGCATCTGAGCCGCCCTTGACGCTGGCAAAAGTGTCAGCGTTCAAGGGCTTCATGTCAGGGGCAGACATCAACAATGCCAGTGGAGTGCCCTCGCCATGCATCCATTCATCCTCCCACAAGTTAATAATCTTCGAGCATTTCTTCAGGTCGCGCATGAGCAGCTGCTCTACCATCCTCCGCAGCCCTTGACTCGCATGAGCGCCATCCCCGTCAAGTGGCCATCCTGCTCCTCTCCATCATCTGCAATGCCGTCTCCTGACTGCAATTATATTTACGAGTGACACAGATGGCAGAGAATTTGAGGAATGTATGGAAGAGGCTGTGCATCATCTCCTGGATGATGCGTGCCTGGATCTCGTCATACAGTGTCAAGGAATAGTATGCTGCAGAATGCATAATGTGAAATGTCGTGTCTAGACCAAATTTTCGGTTCAAGAAAGCAAGGGTCCCAGTGTAGAGAAAGTTGAGAGTGAAGTGTTGGGTGCTCCACTGGCTTCGAAACAGCAGATCCCAGATTAACTTCAGCCCTTTGAGGTCCGCACAGAGTGAGAGCACAGCCACAGCTTTGAGAATCCCCCGAATCAAGCATTGGGTGCTCCGCTGGCTTCGGAACAGCAGATCTCAGATTAGCTTCAGCTCTCTGATGCCCATGCTCTGAATTGCCAGCACAAGGCATTGCACGAAACGTGCACGATCCTTCAGATGGTGATGAGTGCATCAGTTCGTAGTCAAGGTTGAGTCTGATCAGTCTATATCACAACGATGCAAGTGATACATGAAATAGAACATCCACACAGCTCCAGGATGACACATCATAATCGAACTGGTAGACTTCAATAGCTGTCTGCCTGAGATGAGAGTAAACATCTTGCTCATTTAGAGGCAAGACCTGGCACCTGAGTTTGCACCTTGAGACCATATACGTAAGAAGAGCCTTTGTCACCTGAATAATGTCACAACCGAAACAACGGCCATCACGCTGTCTGTAAGCGGCCGAGTACTTCAGCCCTTGCACAGTGTCGGCTGAATTTTCCAGTTGTGACCACAGCTTCTGCAATGCATCAGAGGTTATACACAACACAACATCAAAGCACAGGTCACTTGCAGCTCAGAAGCCATTGTAAGCTCACTGGGCATCCCCACGTGCATCGGACGGCGGGCGTGCATCGTGAGTACGATCAAAGATCCAGTATGGCTGGCGACAGATGTCTTTCACGATTCTGATGGCGAGATTAGCACCCTCCACCATCCTGATATGTCAAGATGCTGAACAGATATCATCGTGGGCATCTGAGTGAGCAAGTAGGTAGGATCGATGCAGCAGTGGATCAGCAGCCACTGCAGAGTGCCAACGTCGAGATTCTTGATGCAGTAGTGGAAGTGTTGAGCAAGGATGGCGAAACGATGTGCAATAGACGCTCAAGATCACAAGTTTGAAGTCGCGTGCAGGCGCAGCGTGCACGGGAGCATCCGCGCCACCTCTCTCTGCCTCCCAATTCCATTCCATCTCCTCCAATCTGTTATCTTCCATTTCTAACCTGCCAACTCTCTGAAACGCCATCCCAGCAGCCCTACTTCAGTTCACCATATAATGGTGAAACCTTTGAGTTCAATAATCCCTGATCATACGTCCCCATGTGTCTCGTCATGTTCGCAGAGCTCAACAGTGAATGCGACGAAGCAGCATCACTCAGCAGGCCGTTTGACAATGCTGGCAGGTCCCCCAAGCTCTTTCATACACTTCATCAGGAACAGAACTCTGTCCTCAGTCTGGCCGCTGATGCGAGTCATGTCTACAGCGGCAGCCCCACTGGAGATATCTCCGTCAGTCTTGCCCCACCTATCACGCTATCAATGTTTCGAAACTGAATGATTGGATCCGTGCATGCTCAGGTATGGGACAAGCACATGCTCAAATTGAAGACCTCACTCAGAGGACATACTGGTAGTGTCCTCACCCTCGAGTACACCTCTGACAAGGAGTGGCTCTTTAGTGCATCTGGTGAGCATTGCGTGACAGTCACCCTCTTGCTGGTCATGCTGAAGACATGACACAGGTGACAGCACAATACGTGTATGTCGTAGTTGTATTCTGCGCAATAATCTCTCACCTCTCCTTCACCTCAGATTTGGAGCACGCGATTTCTCTGTTCACTTTATATTCTCAATCCGCATGGCGAAACCGATGCAGGTGACCTCTTCTCACTCGCTTGGTCTCCTGCGCTTCAGACACTCTACGTCGGGTGCTAAGACACATCTCTGCAGTGGTTCACCTTTTCCATATCTCCATTTCCTTCATCAAGTTTATTTGCCTACGGGTCAATATTCCTAGACTCGCCTGATGCCAGCGGGTGCTCCACACTGACACGTCACGTGCACAAGTTCTTTGAAAGCTACCCGCAATATCAGCGCCGCCTCGCAGATCTGTTCACATGCAATCCGACGTGCTTGAGCTGCTCGAATGGCTCACCTCCTCTGACACCTCCGTTGACGTCATCCTCCCTGCCGAGCACATCCGGCTCACCCTCGAGCTCAACGCAAGCGCTGCAGCATTCCATGATCACGTTGCAGGTGCCACCAGCAAATGTGATCTACTCCGTGCATTACGGATACATCTACTGCATGACGCTGGTCCCGAGCTCACGTGAAGCTTCAGACGATCTGCCTTCGGAGCGGAGGCAGATGGCGAGATGCACAATCTACAGCTCGTCACGAGAAGTGGTGATGAGACTGTGAAGGTGCGTGCCCATTGAGCTTAAAATGCTGTGCTTCTGGCTAAATCTCGGCGCTTTCTCTTTAATGACATAACAACAGCTGTGGCAATTGGCTTCTGGGAACTCAACACCGATTCTCCTGCACACGTTTGGCTGTTGCACAGGTGCAGTGCTCACGGTCACAGTTTGTGGTGAGACGGTCTTCGCTGGTTGCCAGGATGGGCATGTCCAGGTCTGGGACCTTGAGACTTGAACTCTTGTTTGCATTCTCATCGTGGTTGAGGTAAGGCTATATTAATGTGAATCGTGTGCATATTACTAACTCATCATCCTAGAATGTGGGACATCCTTTCCCAGTCACTACTCCATTCAGACTTGTCTGTATGCTTTGCAAATGGAGAATTACAGGTGCGCCTTGTTTAGCATGGGATATGTACAGTAGTTGACGTGGTGGGTCTTACGGTCTTGGTAGCGCTGGTCCTCCCAGTTTGATTGCACTGCATCCTGGAAAGCCCATGAAGGAATCGTCCTCTCCTCAATTGTAATGAGCATTCCATCTTCCCCATTTGCCGATGCCGACCTGCACGAATTGGACATGACAGCATGCTTTTCCCCAGCCGTTTTCGCTTTGGTGACTGGCGCGAACCATCAAAGCATGTTTTGAGAGCACACTGTTGATGTTGCAATGTCTAACAGTGATTGTCAGATCTGGGAGGTCGAGCCACCGAAATTGAAGCTGCTCAGTCCATTGTCCTTGACATTTGATATCGATCTTGGCGATGCAAGCAATGGTAGGTTTCTCAACACATGTCCCCTTTCCTCAAAAAGCTGATTGTCTGTATGGCAGAAACAATGGTGTATGTCTTATCTAAACTCGTCTCGATCCCGAGCGTCAGCAATTCCCTTGCACATCAGAAGGATTGCCGGCAAGCGGCGATCTGGTTGTGCAAATGCTTCACTCAGCTCGGAGCTGTGTCATCATTGGTGTGTTTCTGCTGTGCCCAGGTTCTCATGTTGCTCACCAATCATGAACCTACAGTTACCGACTGGTGAGAGCACAAACCCCCTTGTCTTTGCCACCTTCTCAGGGATGCAGACGAAGCGCAAGCATCTGCGAATCCTCTTTTACGGGTTTGTCTGCATTCGTACACGGGGGAGATGATGGCCACTGATATGCATCCTGCGTCAGGCACTATGGTGTTATCGCCGCTTCTCACTGAGAATGGCAGTCTGATCCCTTTGCATTGACCGGATGCAATGGCTATTTGTATGGCCGTGGCGCAACTGATAACAAGGGCCCCATCATGGCTGTGGTGTGCGTGGCTGCAGAATTACTCATTCGATGTGTGCTTGATCTTGACCTGGTGCTCTTGATTGAGGGTGAGGAGGAAGCGGGGAGTGGAGGGTTCACTGAGACGGTATGGAAAAACAAGGTTCGTAGCTCGATAGCATGCTCTGTGGCAGTGTTTGCTGATGCTTCATGGGAACAACTTCGTGTGATAGGATGCAATCGGGCCGATCGATGCTATTCTTGTGAGGTATGTTACATTGCAACCCTGCGCACTGCAGATCCTCACTCATATAGGAATTCTTGGACCAGCAATTTGACGTGGATTGTGGAGGACACGCCTTGCATCACGTATGGATTATGCAGGGTAGTGCATTGTCACGTCGAGATAAGGAGCTTGCTTACCTCAGTTCTTCATCAGGCTTATGGTGGGTTTTCAGATTTCCTGCAAAGGACCTGATCGGCATTCCAGCGTGGATGGAGGAGCTACGATCGAACCTATGCTGGACATGTAAGTGCTCTGTGGATTTAGCCAGATACTGGAATAGCTAATATGTCCTTCCTTGTAGGCTCAAGCCCCTCGGCACTCTCATTGACAGGCAAAATCGCATAACGATTCCCAAATTCTGTGAGTAGGCCTGAGATCCGTCTGAATTGCAAGGCTAAATAGTTCTCAGATAAAAGTGTGCATCCAATAATGAGAGAGGAAGAGCATTTATACTTGGTGCTTGCAGGGATCATGCACATGCCAGCATCTTCGATTGCTGCACGTTGGCATGAACTGTCTTTAACAGTGCACAATGTTGAGGTATCTGGGCCAAGGAGTACGTTGGACTTATGAGGAAAGCTGGGACATGGTGCTTATTTATCTCCATCGCAGACTCAACGGTCATACCTGCGACAGTGAAAGCTCATGTCTCCTTGCACATCGTGCCGGACCAGGATCTGAACACAGTCACGAATGCCTTGTGTGAACATCTTCAGTGGTCCTTTGAGAAGATGCACTCGCCGAACAAGCTGAAGGTACTATTCGTGCTCGCTCATTGTGATCAATATTTGACCTCGCTGGTCCTGCAGGTCTGCATAGATTGAACTGTGGACTGGTGGATCAAGAACCTGGATGATCCATGATTCCATGCACTTGAGGATGCAGTGCGAGATGAGTGAAGGCAGGAGCCTTTGCAGATACGAGAGGGCGGGGTAAGTCATTAGATCTTAAGTATACATGCGTGTCAGGCTGACTGAGTACCTCTGCAGTTCATACCATCTCTTCCATATCTGGAGAGAGAGTTCACCTGCCATGTGCTTCACCTACCAATGGGCAAGAGCTCGGTAAGCCCAGCAGGGTGTTTATTCTCTGAGAGATGGTGCATGCTCATATGCCCTCCATTGAAGGATCAGGCTCATTTACTGAACGAGTGACCATCCCTCTCTAATCTGTGCCTCGACAAGCTGATCGTGGAGTGCTTTCTGCAGAATGTCGCAAAGCTAGAGCCATCGCATCCTAGTGTTATGACTCCCGAGGATCAGGATGGCTCTTCATAGCCTCCAGACTATGAGACGTATCGTGGAATACGATATGACGTATTACCCCTTTCTTCTTTCACTCTCTTTTGCTGCTATCGATATGTTCCAGTCGTTTGCTCTATGGTATTGCTCATGATATCAGAATACAACATCTCTCATCGTGACCTCTTGTTGTCTCACATCTCATCTTTCATCACGGACTCTCAGATTTCTTGTAGATCTGTGTATTGTAAATTAGAATGAAACAACAGTGTTTTTGTGGATTATATGACTTTGCGGGTGGGATCGATGCATCCGAGCATGTAGCCACACACGCGTGTCTATTCGACACCACTGACACGTTACGGTTGTAGATCAGGTGACCACGCTTCACCGTAGGTGCAGCCGCTTTGAGCTGTTCAAGCTCCTTGGCATCTGCTACTACATGCTAAGCCATATATACTTCTGTGGTGCAGAAGTATGTCTGAATAGGGAGTGAAACTCTTGTCTAGCGGTCAGCCTCTGACGGTACGTTCTAGAGCGGGTTCAATGAGGTTTATGCCTTCTAACTTTCCCTCCTGAAAATAGTAGCTTAGTGCAAATGCCCTGCCATTGAGCAAAATGGCTCACCACATGAGCACAGTTCTCTCGAAAAGCTCCTCAGAGATTCTCTCACACCTGTCCTGCATGCGCTCGTCTTTCTCCTCCCAGATTACATTCTTCGTGCTCTCAGTTTCCTCTTCCCACGATGCATCAGAGGTCTCTTCCCTGATATCGCACTTGATGTCGCTCACAGAGCAGTCTGTTGGATGTCTCTCATCTCGGTTAGACAATGAAATGCTGTCAAGGAAAGACGTGTTCAGTTGCTCTGTGGTGGTATTTGACAACAGCAGTGCTATCCCTTTTTGGAGTGCTATCCCCAGCAGGCAGGCTGACAGGTCAGATGATGGCATTTGAACAGGAGAAAAAGTGAAGGTAATGGATCCCCAGATGCCCCGAGTCACAGGAATGGCCTTGACTGGGATGATGTCTGGGCCAAGAATAGCCATGAATATGCTCGTCCGCCCGAGTTTCAGTCTTTGCAGTGAGCACAATCTGTTTTGAGCATACGATCCTGTGCAGATTATCATGAAAAGATGCGATAATCTAGACATTGTAATTTACTTGTCCGATGGGTCCCCAGAAGGTTTGTCCAGTGCCCTTCATACTTTACCGGTCATGACCAATATTGGTAAGCCAGCTACACCGATTTTTCAATCCAACATGTCACGTTTACTCATCTCGACAAGGTAGGCATGATTGGTGCATCCACCCCATTGTTGGTATGACATAATGAATCCACCTGTGAAGGATCTCTGTGGGCACCCACTTCTGTCTATGCAAGTGCTTAGTGCTGATATCATTGTGCGTAGTGCCCGTATGACGCCGATTCTCCATAATAGACACGAGAAGGTGCAGGAGACCACGATCAACCTCATCGTTCGCATTGGTATGCCCGTCTCCCATCATTCACCGATAATATGCAAACATCGTTCAATCCAGCCAGCTGCAGCGCTGAGTTCACGCCAGTGTGAGCATGAATGCGTATCTGCTTCGAGCTTCTGAATCTACTGAAGGTGCACAAGAAGGGCATCCGTCGTGCGGCAGTCGATTCTTTTTGTTACATTGCCAAGAGTCTTGGTCCTCAAGATGTATTACAAGTATTGCCTACAAACATATGTGTCCAGGAGCGACAGAGTCATGTCTGCAGTATGATTGCAATCACTATTATAGCAGAGACCTGCGGTCTTAAATCTAAATCCTTCTCACATGCATTTGTTCACTAAACAGAACCTTTCCAGCTTTCACATGTATCCTACTATCCTCAATGAGTATTGCACTGCCGAACTAAATGTCCAGGTTGAATATTCGAAGGTGCTCTCATTCGCATTCTAATGTGTCGATCCACAGTCGGTGAACTAAGTCTGTGGTCACGATGTTCGAGGATGCTCTCACGGACTGTGACCTTGTACACTGACAGACCGCCGCTCGAGGCGATGGTGGTTCTCAGTGAGCTGAGGAATTCCATCAACCTTCTGTGTGATTTTTGCTGAACCTAATAGGATTGATAGGCTTCGTCCTTGTGGGTATCCCGGTGTATTAGCTCACTCAAAGGAGGTGAAACGCATCGCCTTCCGACATCATATGTAAGCTCTCAAATGTATTTGAGATCACCGATGTTGAGCAAGCACATCCATTAGCAGTGCATGTGAACTGTTTCACATGAATACATGGCAGACCAACACCAGGCACTGGATGGCAAGCTGTAGCTACTGAGGGCGACGAGCAGGTCGAGATGAATGAGACCAGCGGGTCATTTCATTCATGATATATTAGATGAACTTTGATACCATCGACAAGAGCAGATGTTCGCTATGGTGGGTGCATCCACACGGTGCAGCTTGTGTGGAGAGAACTGATATGTCATGTAGGCTACCCACACCTACAAGTTCGATGTCAAGGTACACCTCTATATTTGTCGTGCTGTGGCTGCACAGCTCATGATGTTCAGATGACCTGCAGTGGCTGCTCCGATGCCATTGAACATGCATTGAAGAAGGCACAAGCTGATGGTATGTCCCTGGCCTAAAGTAGTGAGAGCGTGGTGCTGAACGGGCCTCCACGGACACTAGGCGTAGACTCCTACAATGTAAGCTTGGAAAAGCAGGAGGTCATCGTGAAGGGGTCGATCCCGTATGACACGTTGCTGGAGAAGACCAAGAAGATGGATAAGGAGGTGTGTGTACGAGGTGACTAGCCTGCTGCGATGCGAGATCATGGTTGTGTGTCTTATTTCTGGCACAGGTGCGCTCCGGGCAGACGGTGGAATGAGCAGGTTTGTGGCTGAGGTGCTGGCTGTGGCTAGCGGTGATATCACGCCTCAGTGTCTGATGAGTATGTAGGATATAAATATGCATATGATGACCATGAGATGTCCGCATGTGTGGCAACGTACGTGAGGAAAGCCGTAACCAGTCTGGGGTTGAGCAAATTGACAATGTCGATGACAGAGCAGAGAAGAGAATCACGGTTGCCGATCTCAGAAGGGAGACGAGCACCTGCATGGTTGTTCCTGGCAGGACCTCGTATACAGCCTCGGCTTCTCCTCACCCTCTTGCCCTTCTCCTGCACCACAATCCCATATAATCCACCGATCCACTCTTTCCTTTCATAAAATGACACCCGCCTCCGCTGCACATGTGAGCTGATCTTGCATCCTGTCTCGACTTGTCATGCCAGTGGAATTCCGCTTGGCATTGCAGAGTTTGTGGGAGCACCGACTTTTCTTCACAACCTTCACTTTGACTGGATATATGACACAACAGAGAGCTTGCACTCCTTCATGGCCTCGCGGGACTCAATGATGATGGCTGTCCTAACTGCTTATCTGACCACTCCTTACTACGTGAATGATGTCGACTATATCACTGCCTATCTGGACATACACGCGCAAAGCACTCCGAGCTATGTCTACACGTATATTTTGTGGGCAGTCATTGCCGTGACCTTAGTGCTCTTTGCTGCCTTTCACCTGGTCAGCCTCAGAGGTGGCTATTTCGGTGCTCTCTGGAGTAAGTGGGTCATCCGCCAGAGGACATAGAGGAAGAAGCATGCCCTCAAGGTCACCATGTGGAGAGGAGACCCTCACTGGCAGCTGTTATCTCTCCCCTCCAAATGCTCAGATTATCATCTTGATGTCCATCGTAATTGCGACACTCATACTCGTGTTCGCTGGCCCAGACTACATTGCTCCGAAGTCCACAGCCGCTGACATGTGAAATACCTCCAGTATGCTACTTACGAGATGTTCGGTCAATGTCTCTGCATTGACCCAGTACATGCCTGACTACACGATTGGCAAAGCCTGGTGGACATTGGGCAACAGAACGGGTCTCATCGCCTTTACCCTCTTTCCTCTGTGCGTGCTTTTGGCTCTGAAAGCACTGCCATTCGCAGTGCTAGCCCTGCCCTTCATCATCCAGCTGCATTTCGACAAACTCGCCGGGATGCACAGGTGGATCGGCCGTCTCATCTGGTTTTTTCCGTGCTGCATGTCATTTTCTGAAGCATACAGCTCACCATAGAGCAGAGAAGCAGCACTGGGAAGGTGCTCTATACCTATGCCTGGGATTATATCAACTTTATTTATGGATGGATTGTGGGTATACAGACCTGGGTGCGGTTCATCGATAACTCTGACCAGCTCGACAGGCTTTCGGCTTCATGACAGTCCTGGTGGTTCGCTCCCTCCGCCCCATCTGGTGGCTTTACTATAAAATTTTCTACTTCCTATACGTCATGCTAGTGCCGCTAACACTCATCTTCTTCACCCTGCACCATGCATCCGTGGGATGGTGGTGCTGGGCAGCCCTCACGCTGTGGATCAGAGAGCGCATATGGCGATCGATATGGTGGCTGACTACCAATGACTATCTTGACAGAGTGCTTCCATCGCCGGCTCCGAAGAACTCACAGAAGGGGCCAGCGTTGAACGCTTCTGCTTTGCTGGAGTCATGGGAGATGGAGCCAATGTCCTCCCCTCATGTGCTGAAGAAGCTCTACATTCCTCCTAGCTCACCGACAACATCCAAACTGAGCATGGATGTTCATATCACATGCATACCAGGCAAGGTCACATTGGGCGCCTCTGGCAGCTACATTCCACCACTGGGCTTTGCACATGCGGAGCTCCTTCCTGGACGAACGATACGACTGTGCCTCATTACGCCGGGCTACATGCCCTGGGTGCGTGGACAGCATTTCCTCCTGAGGATTCTCACTATATCACAGCTCACCATGCATCCATTCACCGTGGCCACCGTATGCGGTCAAGAAGCGCCAATGGATGAGGGCCGGGAGCTCATCTTCCTGATCCGTGCAAAGAATGGGTGGACAAAGCGCTTGTGGGACACTGTTGTGTGCACCATTGTCAGTGGGAGGCACCACCGAGCACCTGTCTGTGGGTTGAGAGCTCCCCGCTCGAGGCATTGTGATGTGCACGTATGTGGATGGGTTGTTTGGCTCGGCGGTGCATGCCCGGTGGGGAGCGTACTTGACTGTGCTTATTATTGCTGGTGGCTTAGGCATTGGCTTTGGCCTGTCCATGCTGCAGTATGTGTGCCTATGTCTCACTGGCAGAGATGGCTCATCCCTTGGTGGGAAGCGAGGTGAATGGGGGAAGCCCAGTTTCAACATCAGACATGTTCACCTTGTTTGACTGGTACATGAGTTCAGTGAGTGGTACTGCCAGATTCTACGGGTCTCCAAGGCTCATTGTCTTCTTAGGCCATATACAGTGGTGTGCCATGATCTTGCACTGATGTATGTCGATGATCTCAAGCTCAGAGCTGCAGGTGAACGTATTTGTGATGAATGCCAAAATGATCCAAGAATCTTCTTTAGCAATGATGCTGCACACACCTTCAACAGACACTCTCTTTCCTCCAAACCACTCTTTGTGTGGCAGGATCATGTGAAGACGGAAGAGAAAAGTGCTCATTCAGGGCCCATATCCTCTGCTGATGGGGAGGTGGATGACATTTTTGATCCGCATTATCACCAGGGCGACTATGTCGAGTGGAAAGGTGATTTAGGGCATGAGGAGCATGTTTTGGACCTGACTAATTTTGAGGGTGATGATGATACAGTGATGCCTGGTGAGAGGCAATTCGGAAACTCAGTGAAGAGAGAGGGGAGGTTGTGCAGGGCTGCTTCACAGGCTGCGCTGTTGTCTGGGAAGTGCAAGCGACATCAGGATGGGGATGATGAGAAGGATAATGGTCTGGACCATGTGTTCAATTTATCGTCAGTGTGACTGGTCACTCAGAGGGAGAATGTTGATCTCATGTGGTCGATTCTAGAGAATTCTGAAGACGGACCATCTAACGTGCTACCTCTCAAGTCCCCTGACTTTTCTACTTGCCAACGTGACATGCGACACCTCTATTACCCACCTCACCACACTCTATGCTTGTGCCTGAATCCGTGACATCCACATCAATGTTCCTTCTCCCCGACTCCCCGCAATCGCCGAAGGGCAAGGTAAGAGTAAGTATGTCCCCTTCATCACCCACGAGCGTGGCGTCGCAGCCATTCTCGCCAGGTTCACAGGTGAGTGGATGGTCCGAGGCTGGGAGTCTCATGGTGCTCATGTCTGAGGTAGACATCGGGAAGAGCGGGGAACATCTGCGGCTAGAGCTTGACGAGCAGGAGCTGCAGGATGTGGGTGTCATCATGGAACATGCCCATCCCAGGAAGCTGCGATTGTATAAAGTTGTCGCAGAAGAGGTACAGCTCATCCAGAAGCATATCATAGTTGAATGTAAGCAGTATCATTTTCTGGATCTTGGCACAGCAGACACTCATCCGAAAATCATTAGGTTGCGGCCCATTGTCACTGAACGCCGTCGTGCGCAAGGCCATCACGTCGCAGATCAACCTCGAATGAATATGATGGGGAGACCTAAGTGGCTCCATCACGCTGGTGTCTGAGGATTTCGAATACTGATGTTTTGTTGATTCATGTTTCTTTTGGTGACCTTTCACAGCCTAACAAGCTCTGTCACGAAGCATGTCTCAGATGAGCTTTCCGTTCGCAGAACATTAATATTGTACTATACCTTTACCATCACTCAGATACCGTTACTCGTAGGCAGCTGTAATAGGTGCTTTCTGCCGAGTCTCAACAATGTAGGTGCAGGACATTGTATAGCATCTGGATGTAGCCAGCTAAGTGCACGCGGTCAAGTCGATCGCGTCAGGTCAGGACACGTCTCTCACTTCAAAAATGCTGTGTCTTGTCTAGTCGAAGCGCACTGCATACTACTGGGTGCTGAGCTTGTTTCACATTGCTGTCCATACTAAGTCTCATACGGGCTCTGCGCCAGAGGACAGTTCATCGTCTACGATATCACTATATCAAAGCAATGGCCTCAGAGACTGCAGAGCCTCCACCGATCACGATCTCCGAGGGATACACCCTGCATACAGAAAATGCCTACTACATCCTCTTGCCGCCAGACAACCAAGCATTCCTGAAACCCGTCGAGGAGTTCAACCATGACCTGAGCATGGCATGCATCCGTACCTGGAGTGAGCTGCTGAATGAGGAGAAGCAGGCAAAGTGGCAGCAGTCTCAGGAAAGGCAAGCTAAGAAGAAGGAGAATGGGTGCGGACCAAAGCCCAAGCAGGTGAAGAGTGAGTGTCCAAGAAGGGTGAAGTAGCTTGTATAACATGTTCAAGCAGTCGGGAATGAGACGATGGCTTCCGTTATTGCTACAGAGGGGACTGTGGATGCTGAAATGGCCTCTGACCAGGCTAGCAAAGGATCGTCTGAGGCGAAAGAGACTGCATCTTCCAATCAGTCGTTGAAACAAGCTCACAAAAGCAGAAAGAGGTGTGAAATGTCCTATGCATGTCATTTACACTCGTAGATATGAATTGGTCTCGCACTGTAGCACCCATGCAGGAGCGTGATTCTGGAGGCTCTCTCTGCGACAGGTCTGCATTCAATTCATTACGCGAAGGAAGTTCCTTTGGCCAGGTACGCATATATGTGCATGTGCATGTCATTCATTGGATTTACATTTGCGTTTGCAGATATGTCATCGTGAATCGCGAATCACGAATGATTATTCCCCTGCCACTGTTGAAGCAATGTGAAGGAATGTTGAGATCAACGGACTCGCAGATAACACCGAAACAATTGAAGCAGGCTCGTCAGAGACTCCAAAACGTCAGGGCAGCAAGCCGGTGCCACCAAAAGTTAGAGTGAATGAAGGGGACGCTTGATAGGTCCTCTCGAACAATCGGCGGCACAAAGGAACTGAGCATCATCCAAGTGCATTGATGTACGATTACCGGACAGAACGAGCGTGTGTCGATGTTGTAGACCTGGATCCGTATGGGGCAGCTGCACCGTTCATCGACGCTGTAGTACAATGCATGAATGATGGAGGTCAGCTGCTCATTCATTCACATCCTCGCATTGTGCTGACTCGCTCGTGATCTAGGTCTCGTGTGCGTGACATGTATGAACCTTTCAGTGCTAGCAACATTGAACTATCTTGAAAAATGGTGCGCACTCCTCTGCGCCTCTTCATCCTCTGGTGTATCAAGATCCCTCGCAGCTTCTTCAATTATGGAGGTGTGCCTGTAAAGGTGGAATATTGCCACGAAGCGGTACATGACTTTCAGGCAATTTTATGACTGGCATCTGATAACCAACTATAGGCCCTTCGCCTCGTACTGCACACAATATTAACATCCATTGCCAGGTACGGTCGATACATCCAGCCACTCCTGTCCCTCTCAATTGACTTCTATGTCCATCTGTTTGTCCGCATATATACATCAGCGAATGAGGTCACAAAGGCTTTCAGGTGAGTTTTTGCTTCATCAGCATGCGGTGCTCAAAGGTAACTGCCTCTGACAGCAAGACATCCATTTACTACATATGCAGCGGCTGCCAGTCGTTCTATGAGCAACCTTTTAGACGGATGACCAGAACGTACATGAACTGAGCGGAAACATCAACTACCACTTCAAGGCACATGCTGGACTGACAGTGCCTAGCAATGTCCAGAGTGCAATTGAATGCTGCACGTATGCATCTCGTTGCTCCAGATTCTCGCTCGTTCCTCATCCTTTCCCAGGTCACTGGACCGATGTGGTCGGGGTCAATTCATGACCCTGCTTTTATCTCGAAAGTATTGGAACACATCGAAGCTAGCAATGATAAGTATGGCACTTCGGCACGCATGAAAGGTATGCTGACTGTCGCAAAGGAGGTGGGTACCATGCAATTTCAGCAAGACTTGCTCTAATTTCCTTCAGGAACTGAATACGCCATTCTACTTCATGCCTGCGAAAATAGCTGGCACCTTCCACTGCATATGCCCAGCGCTGGATGAGGTAGCGTAAGTACTATTTTTATGCTGCATCTTATCAAGTGCTGCGGGTCTAATTTTCGTGATGATTCTCAGCTTGGCACTGCTTCATGCGGGACACCAGATCTCCAGATCGCACATCAGTGCTGGCTCACTGAAGACCACTGCCACGCGCGCGGACGTCCACGATGTGTTTTGTTACAGTTAAGATGATCATGCTTAAATGTAGTAAAAGGCACCTAGTGGGCTGACACTAGTAAACCAGCTGCCTTTGATATAATGCAAGGTAATATGCCATGTCTGGTAGGGACCAGGCTTAATCTCAGATGGGCAGTGCTCAATGATCATCATGTGACTTTATTAGTCACGAATTCATGCAAGCTGATCAGTAGTCAACTTAGACTCGTCAACATTGTCTCAATCAACTTCAATTACTCAGAATGTGGAGGTAAGGGATATAGGTCGACTCAAAGTATAGTGTGGTGCATGTGTTACTTTCCTGGTGGCTATTTAGGTATATTCAAGGATAAATCTTCAACTACCATATATTAACCCTGAGATTGGCTAATTCTATCTGCCCCATGCTTGTTGTGGTGGAACTAAAATATCAACAATCCAGGCTGCACCATGTAGTGAGTGAACAGTTCAAGTGTGTCAGTCTCAGAGATTAAGGAAAGCTCAAACAACTAACTCAAAGGTTTTGTATTAGTTGAAGGAGTTGCACATAATGCTTTGGCTGTCATTGACACACTTAAATATTTTACACTGTCGTGTTACTTCAATAACATATAATAATTTATATTGGTTCATGTATTAGTCAAAACAGACTATCTATTAGTACAGCTGATTAAGCAATATTTAAGGACCTCCATGCCACCTGACCTGTCATCGCAAGACCATAAGCAAGAGCCAAAGAACCATAATACAGGTTCAATTCACTTAGGATTGCACACAACCTAGTGTATTATGCATGAGTTATCACATAATTTATAAGGTATTCCAACCAGTGGTCTATCTTACATCATTCTACTTAGAAGAATTCAAAAGAATGCTCTCGCATGTCACAGACTTGGGATTTGATATGACCACCTTATAAGTACATGAAGGTCTGCGCAAGTCTATTTTTTTTCCATGTAGCTACATTGTAAACTATCATGTGATACCATACAGGTCAGAAGCCTAAGTCTATCAAATAAGTCAGCGACTTTAAAGTTAACCAGTCATGGGTTATAAGCACTTACTGAATGGGCTGATTCCAACAAGACATCCCTTGAGCATACAAGGTGGTCCATGGGTTGATCCTGAGTCCAGGGTGCCACTTCTGGCAAACTCAACTCAGCTATGCGTTGGTAGAATGAGGCTAATAAGAAGTTAGTTAGTGCCATGTGAAGCTATAGGCATGAAATGACTTACCAGATTCTGCAAGGAATTCTTGGTCACAAAGCTGCATAGCTTTGAGGCAGTAGTTTGGCCAAAGTGAGAGAAGGTGCATTGCAGAGTAATTAATACCCCGATTGATGCCCATACGCTCTCTCTCATTGATTCCAAGTGTTCCTGCAGCAGCTTGTCCGAGTGCCTTGACTAATACATGGTTGGTGATGAGGTCCTGAACCAGGGCATCCAGGTGTGACCAAGTGAGTTCACCTTCGAGTGAGGCCACCTTTTGATATAGGCTAGGGATAGCTGTATCAAAGTGGAGTAGGTGGGATTGCAGCATCTCAATCACCACATTGCAGATGCGAACGTGATGAGTACCAAAGTACTCGAAGCGAGGTACCCTTATGGATGTCTCCTCAGATGAGTCAGTGCTGAGGTGGTTCCACTGCTTTGTCCAGTTAAGAAACTGAAGGGACCCATAATGGGCATGCTTGCAGTTGACCACGTGATCGACAAGTTGATGCACTGCCTCTTTTGCAGCTAAAGGGCCACAAGCTCTGAGCTCTCCAATAGATGTGCAACGGTTTATAGAGCGCTCTAAACCAGCCACAGAGGGACGTGGTTCATAAAGGCTTAACCCTGAGAGGTTGAAGCTGGGTGCTCCAAAGGGGTGGTCTCTCACCCCAAAAGGTGGTCTATCAAGGCCAAAGCCTTGAGCTGGGACTGCATCATGCCGAAGTGATCCGCTGTGATATGCCGCCCATCCTTGAATGTCGTAGGTAGAAAAATTCACTACCCTCAGAGAGAGAAGGGATGAGGGGGGTGAGGCAGGTGTCGGCATAGGAGGTTAGGTTAGGAGAAGGGACACAGCTGATAGAGCAAAGTGACGTCGAATGTGGACTCAGTGTCGTGTGAGAAAACAGATAAGCAGCACTTAAGGGTGTCTTAAGTCATGGACTGCTTTTGCTTATAAGCTCATCAGACCTGTTGTCAGTTATTTGTACAAGATACCAAACTGGAAAGGTATGAATTTACAAGAATTTAGTTTAACCTCTATTTAAAGTTCATTATACTCCATATAAGGAGATGTGTCTATTTCTCAAATCTAATGTTAGAAAGGGAGAATTAGCTGGGAATGTCCCATGACACTTGAACTGCCTCAAAGTGAGAGCAGAACAAATAAGGCATAAATTTCTCATAAATGTGAGAAAGGGTCTTACCACTTGTGGTGTATCTATTGTTTTTAATGCACATTTTGTGAGAACGGAGTATAATAAGATAGACCGTTAAGGATTTTTGATTTCATAGTCCATCAAAGAAGCACACACCACATCACCAAAGAAGCAGAATAGCACAAGGCTACCATGGGATCTTCAGATCATATCATGGCCTACCTGGCCTAAAAGGGTCATTTCTGAATCACCAGTTAGGGTGACCCATGCATCAACTATTTGCCAGGGCATATTACATGTCCAGGTCCAGGCAGTTATTCTGAAAAAAGAAGATAAATCACATGAGTCGACCACGAACATGCATCAGTGATCTCCTACCCCTAGCTATAAGATGAACAAAATGCATCTCTGCATTCTCATCAATCTAGCTATTAGGATGGACAGAATACACTCCTGCATTTCCTTCAAATCTTTTCATGGACTATTTCTGACACTGATAATGGCTAACATAAGCAATGAGGTCACAGGTGATTGAAAAGGAAGATCACCATGAGAATGTGACATCAGCAAGTGTGTTTAGAGTCGAGTGGCATGCTCCTAAGATGGCGAATACTGAGAGATGATTGAATTACTGAGAAAATAATAAAATGGTGTGTATGACACCCCTAGCTAGCACATCTGCTTGATTTATATCACTGCATGAAAGAACTAATATCTTATGTCAAATGACTATAATAGTCTCCAAAAAAGAGTTCAAGTCTTCTTAGAGCATTTTTACTCAAGGCTCAAAATAATCATTTAAAACTTATTCCCTAGGTTTCAAAGTGTAAAGGTCAAAGAAGATTCTAAATATAATATATATGATATTTAAATTATTTTCTTTAATCTGCTTTTTATATTTATCAGCAATTGTTAAAAATAACATTTAAGATCTTTTTAGAGCCTTTTAATAAAAAGATTATCATCAGATGATGAACCTATTCAGAGAAATTATAGAAACATTTTCA